TAGGGAGGAGAGAGAACAAGACGTGGAGACTCTTTTCAAGACAGGGTTTCTTCATGTAGACCAGGCAGGCCTTGAACTCACAGAGATCCTCTTGCCTCTGCCTCCTGAGTGCTGGGATTAAAGGTGTGCGCCACCATCACCCGGCCGGAGAATTATATTTTTAAATTAATTTTATGTGCACTGGTCTTTTGCCTGCATGTATGTCTATATGAGGGTGTTAGATCCCCTGGAACTGGAACAGTTTTAAGCTGCCATGTGGGTGCTGGGAACTGAACTGGGGTCCTCTGGAAGGGCGGCCAGTGCTCTTAACCACTGAGCCATCCCTCTGGTCCAGCTCATGAATTTGAGTTTTAGCTCTTACATTTGGGTTATGGCCCATTGGGAATAAATTTTATATACAGTGCAAAAGCAACCTTATTAAAAAAAATAGTTATACTTCCTCCATTATTTGTTTTAAATTTGTCTTTTGCATTTTACGTTTCTTGGCATCTTTTGAAAATCAATTGGCTACAAGTTGAACATGTTTTTAGAATTTTAGTCATTTTGTCCCATTTATCCAAATGTCAGTCACTGAGCTAGTTCTAGTCTGTCTTGGTTTCTATAGCGTCATGGGAAGTTTTAATATCTATAGATTTCAAGCCTGCGTCTATTCACATTACGCTGAGACCTGGTGTTGCTATGTAGCCCTGGCTGACGTTCAACTCATGATCCTCTTGCCTCTGGCTCCCATAGGATGTATTACCACATCCAAGCTGTGTACCTGCCACTTTTAATCTTAGACATACTTCATTTTCTCAATTTCAGTTTTCTTATTGTGTTCAATGATGACTTAAAAATGCATTGTTGAAGTTATAAAAAGAATATGTTCTCACATCCCAGGGAGAAATGGATTGGTCTGAAGTCATGGAAAGAAGTAGTCACCACTGTCGTATTTTAACTCATTTAACCCACCAAGAACAGCTTGCCTCAGAGAACACACTGCTGCAAGCCAGTTGGAGCTAGCTCTCCACTTCTGAAAGCCAGCCACTCGGGAGACACTCCATAAGAGGTTAGAGAGAACGGATTCCATTGTCAAATAAATTCAGGAAATAGTTGCTATTTTATCTCCTTCTTGGAGGTTCACTGTGCGTCTCTCTGTCTCAGGTCTGGTTTCCTGGGAAAGCCTGGGCTAGAAATCTGTGCGCAGGAGGGGTGCTGGGCAGCATGTCCTTAGCCACACCTCCTGTACGGGTTAGCGGGACAAGCATGTGTGCTTCAGACCCCGGAGCCGTACTGGGCAGGAGAACCCAGAGGGCAATCCGCTTGCCAAAGGGCCACCAGCTGAGCCCACAAAAATCTCCGGAGCTGGACTAGCCCTTCAGAGTTACCTTGCACTGAGCCAAGAGGGCTCCTATTTCTGTCAGGACACAGGCTGTGCCAGGGGTGAGAAGAGGAAGCACAGGCCATTCCACGGCAGTCTGCCAGGACAGCTCTCAGAACTGAAGAGTTCTAATAGACTGTCATCAATCGACAGGTCCATCCTTCAGCCGGGAGGGTGACTAACCTGCTGGGACGGGCAGGGGTGGGAGTGGGGGTGGGCTTGTACAGGGGAGCACCAGTGAGAAACACTGGGTTCGCCGTGGGTTTTATTTGCATTAGTGTTTTATTTTTGTACACTCAGGACCCTTTTTCTGTTGCTGTTATACAGGGCTGTGACCCAAGGCTTAAGAGCAGTAACCTCCCCCCATTCCTTCCCGGAGACTGGATGACTGAAATGTCCAGTTCTCCAATCATGTCTATTCTTTCTCCTAACCTGCCTGAATCTCGATGTCCCTCCCCAAAGACAGAGGTCGTTTCATTTACATAACTAAGACATTCCTTCCTACTAATCGGGGAACCCCAAAGGCTTTTGCAATTCTGTGGCAGAAATGGAAACCCACATCTAATGTTCCTTATTATTCTATAGCTCATTATCATGTTAATATTCTGAGCTATTTTGTGTTTTTTAAAAAGAAAAAAAGGATTGACTTTGCTCACCTAGTAACAACTTCTTCATGTGACCCTGGAGACCCATTTTATGGCCCCTACTTCCTCCTAGATACACAAATTCCACCTTGAAAAGACACTTCCTCTATTTCTCTTCCCCACTGAACGTCCGGATCTGGGTTACAGGGTGGAACACATAATTTGTATGTTTGTTTTATGGTGTTCCTTGTCTCAAGGTATTAAGAATCCCAAGGCTGCAGCAGAGAGTAGAAGCCAGGCATGGGTCCTGTAAGCACAGGTCAGAAGCTCAGAAAGCCAGTTAGTGTCCCAGGAGACTTGCTCCAGCCTTCTCTTCTTCCCCTTGACCCTCACGTACAATGCATCACACACAGCTTTCAGAATCCTTCCACTCTCTCTCCAACTTGTCCACACCTCCATATCTCTGTGCTAAACCTCCCTAGCGCAGGCCAGGCAGTCATCCCCCCTCACCCAGAAGACTGCCTCAGCCACCCACGCCTCTGCCTTCCATCTGGCTCCTTACAAAGGCAGGGGAGGACTTTAAATGACCCCATAGTCATTCCTCACGCCCTCCCCAGGGGTCCCCTTGCCCTTGCTCATAGCACACATCCACCCCAGATGCTCCTTGGGGGCAAAGTTCAAATACCTTCCCAAAGTATGGCCCCTGAGGCTTCCTGCTGACTCTTCTATTCCCAACTCTTGATCGTGATCCTTTCCCATCCTGGTGGCCATTCTGTCTTCTCTGTCCTGTGTACTAGACGCTAAGGCTCTCAAGTATGGAGCCAGACGTGTTAACAAAAATCCAGGACAAGCAGGATGAAGAGAATTTTCGGGGAAATGGGGACGGCCGTGCAGAGGGCCTGACCTGGCCGTGGCAGGGTGACCACGGTGGGACAGAACGGAGGGGAGATGCTGAAACTTCTCTGCCAAGATGATGAGTGCTGCTCCCTCTCGGTTCCTTGTCTGTAGAAAAGAAGGAACAGGGAAGTGCCTTGCTTACCTTAAGGATCGAATGAGTCCTGGCCATAAACACTCGGGATATCGAGCGGGGCGGCAGCAGCAGGCGCTGTGAAGCATCCTCAGCATAGCGCACGTGGGTTTCCGGTCCTCCTACGAGGGCTGACAGGAGACGTCTACCCTCTCATGTCTCCTGTGTATCGTCTCCCTCTGCTACCCGAATTTATCCACTACTCTATTGTCTCATGAAAGATTCCAAACTCTCCCAGAGAATCTGATTGTCTCAGAGCATCACTGCAGTCCCCCAGGCACAAGCCGCTGCTGTAGGTGAGGGGGGGGGGGGACGGGGACAAGACAAGCATCATAACTTGGATCTAACTCCCTTCGAACCTGAGCCAACAGCAGAAACAAGAGCAGCCTGAGCTTGCTCTGCTGGGGGAGCGGGGGATGTCTAGGAAGGGGTCTTTCACAGAAGCCTGGACCCACGCTGTGTCCAAGCATGCACAAGGGCTTGAAGTTAAAGGCTTGACGCTTGAAGCTACTGAGGACTACACCCTCTGTAATTCCATTACCTGTCTTTTTAAAACCCTGTCTGCAGCTGATCCTGGTAGCGCACACCTTTGATCCCAGCACTCTGGAGGCAGAGGCAGGTGGATCTCTGTGAGTTCAAGGACAGGTTGGTTTACAGAGTTCCAAGATAGCCAGAGCTACAGAGTGAGACCCTGTCTCAGAATAAATAAATAAATTCTGTCGGCAGCAGAACCTGGTGGTGCTTGCTTAGAATCCCAGCACTCTTGGGATGAGAGCAAAAATTGAGGGATCTAAACAAGGCCAGCCTGGGTTACATGAGACCTTATCCTAAACAAAAAATGGCACGACATAGATTTTGTGACGGAAAGCCATATATTAGCTTAATATGTTGTCTTTCCCAAGACAGGGTTTCTCTGTGTAACAGGTCTGGCTATTCTAGAACTCACTCTGTGGACCAGACTGGCCTCGAACTCACAGAAATCTGCCTGCCTCTGCCTCCCAGGGCTAGGATTAAAGGTGTACTACCACCTGACCATTTGTTGCTTTTCTTTTCTTTTTAAATTTATTTAACTTTGTTTTATGTGCATTGGTGTGAAGGTGTCAGATCTCCTAGAACTGGAGTTACAAACAGTTGTGAAGTGCCGTGTGGGTGCTGGGACTTGAACCTGGGTCCTTTGGAAGAGCAGTCGGTGCTCTTAACCGCTGAGCCATCTCTCCAGCCCACATTTGTTGCTTTTCTAAACACTGTACATTTATTCTATACAGGTAGAACAACTACCTGTATTTTGGATAAAATTTATCTAGGAATAAGCTGGGCATGGCAGTATATAATTCCAGCTATACAGAGACCTTGTCTCAAATATATGTATGTGCGTGTGTATTTAAATATAATTTATATAATATAAATATAATATACATTACACGTTATATATTTGTTTTTATATATTTATTATTTAGTATGTTTATATATTTACATATTTAATATATTATGAATATATTTTATCACACATTATATATTTATTATATTTGTTATATGTGTGTTTATTATATATTTTATATATTATGTTTATTATATTTATATTTTATATTGTATTTATTACATTTTATATATAATATATTGCATTTATATATTTTTATATGTGTGTTTATTATATATAATAGATATATATTACAGCTGCACTACAGATATTTCTGCATTTTTTTAAAAGATCATTTTATTTTGATGTGTGTGTGTATGTGTACATGTTCATGCGCATGCATGTGCATGTGCATGTGTGTGTGTGAGTGTAGGTGCCCAAAGAGGCCAGAGGGCATCTGCTCCTCTAGAACTGGAGTTACAGGCAGGGGGTTACTGGGACCCCAAGTCGGGTTTTCTCTGCCAGAGCAGCCAGTACCGTGACCTGCTGGGCCATCTTTCGGGTTCTATCTCCCTCCCTCCATTTTTCATGTGTTTAAAGGAACCCAGTCAAAAATTGTGGATCACGACGCTTGGGAAAGGATTGCTGTAATTTGAGGATTGCCAGAACTACATAGCGAGTTCTAGGCTACCATGGACTGTCTCAAAATATAAGTAAAGAAATCTCACTCATTGGCAATATACCTAAAGAATAATCATGAATCTCAGAATCCCACATCCCGTAGTACCAAGTGTAATGATTTAACCGCAGAAGTCACCTTGGTGGGTACAAACAGAGCTCATTTGGGGGGTTTACGGGGCAGGGGGTGCAGAGCACCGTGTGAGTGAGAGCAGAGGAAGAGAAAGGGGAGGGAACAGGCTTGATTTTTATAAGGGGATTGGACACTCGCATCTCTCCCATAGGGAGAGTGCGCTACTCAGTGGTCAAGTGTCCTGCTAGGCTTCTAGGACTGCAGCTCTAGCTGCCTCGTCAGCTCGGTTATTTCCCTCAGAGACGATAGAATTGTTGGCCTGGTGGGACCCACAGTTCCTACAGCTATGGGGATACAGGAGGTTTTTAGCATGGCCATGATTTGGTTACTGGTCCTCCTTTTGTTTTTTTTTTTTTTTGGTTTTTTGAGACAGGGTTTCTCTGTGTAGCTTTGTGCCTTTCCTGGAGCTCACTTGGTAGCCCAGGCTGGCCTCGAACTCACAGAGATCCGCCTGGCTCTGCCTCCCGAGTGCTGGGATTAAAGGCGTGAGCCACCACCGCCCGGCTGGTCCTCCTTTTGTTGTAAGTAATCTTTGCTCTTTCTAGATGGCAGCATGGGACAGAAGGATGTGGGAGGGAAGGCATATTAGATCTTTAGAGATGGTCCTTGTGCCAACTGGAAGGCACGGGTGAGAGCTATTAGCTCCTCCTGCTATTAGTGTTGTGTGGGCAGTGAGTGCCTGTGCCTCAACCACCTAGGTATCTAATACTATGGCATTGCCCATGTTTCGGGGGGGCCCCCTGTCTATAAAGGAGCTGCCACCTGTGTAGTGTACCAGTGTGGATGGCCACAGTGTGCCCTCCTGTATGTGTGAGGGATAGGGCAGTGTTTCCTCTAGGGCTTCAATGAAAGAATGAGACGGGGAGGGGGGGGGCAGTGACGTCGCTGGTCAGGGAAGATTTGGGATGCTGAGGGGTGGGCATGATCGGGAAGTAAGTGTGGCACCTGCTGGAGAGAGAGAACCCGGGAAGGAGGCAGAGTGTGTAAGCCTTTGTACAGGTTGTGAGGAGAAGAGAGTGTGGGTGACCCAAAAGTCAGTTTTATGGATTTGCCAATCAGGTGCCTATGCAGCGTGCCCATCCTGGACAGGAGGCAAGTTGTAAACCGATCTCCAGCTAAAATGCCACTTTGGGTATTGGGGATCCCGGTGAGGGGAGTCTCATCCTCTGCTTATTTGGTGAGTGTCCTGGGCATGTGCTCTAGCATGTTCCCAAACTCGCCCGTGCTCTTCGGGAAGTAGGTTGTTAATTAGAATCACATACATATGTCATGAAAGGTTAGACTATAGGACTGGGTGATATATTGGAATTCTTTAATGAAAGAAGTGGAGTGAGACATGGAAGAGCCCAATATTGTAGCTGTTGTTTTTTTTTTTTCTATTTGAGAGAATTCACTTTATGAAAAGGGGATAGGTACACATCTGGGCCTGCGCAGTCGGCTGCCGCGACAACCTTCGGCAAAGGGAGAACCGTGGCTGGGTTAGGCTAGTGAGGCTGGCTAGGTTAAGCTAGCTAGGGAAAGAGAGATGGGGTGGAGGTCCCACAAGTAAGGAATGAGTAGCCGGAGGCTGATGTGAGTGAATGTGGGTGCCAGAATGGGTTCCTGACACTCAAGGGCTAAAAGCCAAGCAAGACAGAGGGCAAAGACCACGCTCAAAAGATTCGGCCTCACTCATGAGAAGTGGCCAGAGGTGGGTGTCAGCAAAGAGAATCAACCATAACCTTAAAGACTGTAGTGGGGATTCTCCACCTCCAAGAATACCAGAGGGATACATTACAGGGATACAAGACGCTCCACAGTCACTCCCAGGGACGTAGGGGAAGCATTTACACCAACCAGGAGAAGGGGAACTTACCAGTCCTTGCCGGCCTTGGGTGAAGTGCCCAGCCATCGGTTTGGAAATGAGCCCATCGCAGGCAGTCTGGTACACAGAGACTTTGTCGATCAGCATAAGACCCCTGGGTGGGTTGAAGCCAAGGGGCGCCACCAAGTCGTACCATGCAACAGAACTCATGTGAGAGGTTTATGGGCAGGGAGGGGGTGGGGGGGAGGAGTGGGGAGCACACACAGAGGCAGCCTCTGAGCACGATCCACAGGAAGAGACAGAAGGGAGAGAAGAGCTTCCTTTTTATAAGGGGATGTAGCACATGCGCATGCGGAGAGCGCTCTACTAGTGACGATAGTCAGTGTCACATTGGGCTGACAGTGATGACGTGTCCTGCTAGGTCCCCAAGTGCAGGTCAGTGCAAATGCCTGAATGTTAACACCGCGATATATGTGCTGCTTCTTTCAAACCAGCATGCCAAATGACAAGGGGAAATTTACAACCTTTCAAAACAGTGCATGCATACAGTAAACGCTGAAATATCTGCATATGCTATATGAGGTATAAAATAGAAATTACTTTATATATATATATTATATGCAACCTCGTCACCTCCTATGTCCACTCTATATCTGAGTACCCACGGATAACTAAGAAGCTAACTGCCTTGTATCACGCCATGCGCTTGTCACCCTAAGAAGATCTCAGCACTCATCTCCTCTCATGTCTGGCTGCCCGGACACCGAGGTAAGTTCAGAGCATTTCAGACCGCTGCCTGACGTGTGCCCAGGTAAATGCCAAGAAGGACATGCTTCCCCCAGGCCAACGGAGTCAAGGTACAGTACCCGATGAATTTTGAGAAATAGACTTCACTGAAGTCAAGCCAGCACTGTATGGCTACAGATATTTGCTGGTCTTTTTCCGATACCGTCGCAGTCTGAGTGGAGGACTTTGTATCCCGAACAGAAACGGTCCAAGTGGTAGCTAAGAAATTAATAATGGAAAAGGATATAGGATATAGCTACCTTTCCTATAATTTGATGATTAACCCAAACTTTTTCTTTTCAGAATAAAGATGCCTTCGCCCATACCCAGCAGGAAGCAATTTTTTAAGAATACGACACCCACATTCCCAAAGAGGTGGTGTGGGGTACGTGGGTTTTTTTGGTCTTTTAATGGGTTTTGGGTCTGGGATAAA